CAACTCTTTCGAATTATCTAAAACGTGAGAAACTTAAAGAAAAATTAAACTCTAATACAATGTGCCAAAAGAATTTTGTAGTTGAGAAACTGCACCCAGGAATGAATTCATATACTCAAAATAATTAATTAATAACAGCCTATTATAGGTATTATATCGTATTATTATAGTTTTATATAACGTAACTACAAATGTGATTATAATTTACAACAGTTATTTAGACAAACTTTCTTAACTGAATTTATATTCAACAAAATTTCATTGACATGAGTTACCCACAAGCTTCCTTCTTTGCTTTAAAAGCCTCACTTGTTACATCTGTGAAATGGAACTTTAGACATCCGTGTAATTTGTTAGCTTACAACTCGGAGTAATATAGCAACATCGAGAAAGTAGAATTCTAAGATCCATTATCTCGCAAACTGCTCCCGATATGCGCAATTATAGTAATTTTTACGAGAAACACCGAGGCACGAAAGCGATATCTAATCAGAAGAAGAATCCTCTATCGATTTTGGTCCTGTGTCACGTATACTTATTACATCAATCGGCAAAAGTATCTTTGCTCTTCGAAACTTCGAAACCAGGGCCGGGGCAGTACTCTCTTTGATTACAGACCATCTCTACGAATGAGAAGTTCAACGTGAAATTTACAAATTTTCTTCTCGTACCTCTAAATTTATATTCTCTTTGAAGCTGGTTGAAAGTTCAACAAAAAGGAAACGTGATTTCTATCCTTCTCGCGTTGCGAATACATCTTTTAAACTTAATATTTCTCTCCGATCAATAAAAGACGTAGCTTATATCTCCTCCCTCCTCCCCTCCCGCCCCATGAAGAATCCTAAGAATTCGTCGACTTATTAAATATCTGCGCGGAACAACGGAAGTATTCTCGATCGCATTTTTCATTTTGCCTCCGCGAGTATAATAATCGATCCACAATTCCCTCGGCCGAATTATCAAACCATCACAGATGCTTTCCGCTTCGGCGATAACGAAACATCGGAATCCGTCAGCTTCTCTTCGTTCGAAGAGAAAGGCAACGCGATATTTAATACCGTTTCTTTCCTCGAAATCAACGAAACGAATCGAAATAAAAAACGAGAACGAGAAAAAGCTAAGAAGAAGAATAAGAAGAAGACGACGAAGAAAGTACAGTATATAATATAGATTGCGCGATCGATCGATCGACAAAGCAGATTCCTTCCCTTCCCAAATGAAGGTTACTCTTCTAATAACTTTCGCGTACCTTCCACTTAACGACGATCTTACTTATATACGACGTACACCTATTGTCAGAAACCCTGTATAATTATTTACAGATCCACCCACAAAGAGAGACACATACTTGATGATACGGTGTATACAGGTAAACGTGCTTGATCAAAGAACATGTATATCTGTCATATAAAGAATGATAGGAAAGTCGTTATATATCAAGCAAGCCGACACTTGGCCCGGATATACAGTTTTACACTGATGCATTTAGGTGATCCTTTATAGCTAACAGCACCTAGACTCGATACAAGAAAGCATATTCTCTCTCTCTCTCTCTCTCTCTCTCTCTCTCTCTCTCTCTCTCTCGTTCGTGGTACTAGACAGTTTAAGTTTAGTATATAGCTGGAGATGCTGTGACTCTCATCTCGATGACGCATGTTACCGAACGAGACATCGATTCAAAGCGTACGTGATTAACTTGAACAGCTTGATCGGAAGGACTCGAAATTACGGGAAACGTCACGATTTTTTTTTTTTTTTTTTGTTTCTTTTTTCCTTTAGTTCCATTTATATCTATGCCTACGAATTCTCCTAGATCCGTTGCGAAAACCGAAACGTATTTACGCGTTTTTTCCGCGAGATAGAACAGAGGAAACGTTTTCTTCGTTCAGTTATGAGTTCGAAAATATGAGTTCGAGGAAACGATGGTTATAAAAGAGAAGGAAATGCTGTAGCTTCGCTTCGTTCGAACTCTGTCGTGAATATATTTTTACTAAAATTTTCACGTTTCACAATGTTGGAATAAAAATTGATAAATTGCGATGATTTTTCATCTCCATCGTGCATTGGGCAATAACAGAAAGCAACAAAAGCGCGAAGGTAAACGTTGTTTAGTTAGACAATTATTTAACTGAGAGATTAGGTAATAATTGACTAATTGCATTAATTAATTAATTCGATCGGTATTCAACCGGCACGTGTTTCTGTTATTGTTTATATTGAAAAATCGATTATTTCATGCGTATGTACATACATTGTTAAGAAATTTTCTATAAAACGTGAAGTATTAAGAATAATGATTTCATTGTTTTTATTCATTAGTTTGATATGTATTTTTGGAAATTCATCTAATACGTATTACGGTATGTTGAAATTCGTTGGTAGAAGTTTAGCTTCAAAAAGGGCATTTCAAAAATTGATTGACAAGTGTTAAATATCGTCAGAAATTTAAAAATTGGACAATGTATTATCACATATAGTAGATAATCTCACGTATTACCTAATATTGGTGTAAAAGTGTATTTTACATCCTTCGTTTTATTTACAAAAGAATATTATGACAAGTTTTTTTGAAACGTAATATTAATGAAACTTTCAGTATCTCGAAAATATTATCAATCAATTTTTACGATTTATCGCATTTTCAGTAACTGTATATATTTTTATCATTATAAAATAAAAGTGTAGTTATGTTTTGAAGTTTTTAAGTTAAGAAATTCTTAATTTTTTTGATGTTTCTATTTCCGAGCTTCGAAGTTTTTTCGTAACAATGACGCGTTATCTCTTCTCTTAACATAGCTTCTCACAAACTTGTATCAATGTTGCGAATAACTTTTATTCGTAGTATTAATCGTTTTATAAAAAATACACGTTCGACGCATAATCTGCTTCTCTCTCGGCTCGTTTCGAGCTCTATATTAATATTTAATAAGTATTATATTACAACACTGTTATTGTATTTTATTTATTCAGTGAGTTCTGAAGAACTTTTACGTTTGAAATTACCCATTTCGTATATAACCTAATATATAACAACAATATTACTTGTTTGCAAAGCAGTAATTTTTTAATGATTATTTCGTCGTTTAAATTTGTCGTAGATCATTTAGCCTTTAGACTCGAAATTATAATTTATTCCAATAATATCAAGTATTTTAATAAATTGTGTATTAATCGTGATATGATATTAAGCTTGTCAACAAATAATTAAAATTTATGTGCTGTTGATTCCGCAAGAAAATCGCAAATACATTAATTTCAATTTTAAGTCATTAATTATTTTGATAAAATTCATTATTATTGGAAATCGACTGAAATATATATGCGGTAGATATGTATATTGATGAGAACCGGTGATTCTATGTAGAATTATCAAATTTCGCATCGTTTGTACGCCAAATTTAAATAAAATACGGGACAAGCCATAAAATCAAGCGTCTTCGCATATCGTTTTGTCAAAAACCGGCAAGAATGTTAACTTTTTTTTTCTCCTTTTCAAATTATAAAGTACATCTCGAATAGAAAACGTGCAAAATTTTGTCTCCGTTTTAACGGGAATGCATGTGAAATTCGAAAATTTCAAGATAGCTGAGGAAAACTCGCGGCCGTCAACGTTCCACCGAAAATCGTATCGCCGTTCCAATTTTCGACGTTTCGCGGTTTCATTACGAATCGTCGACCGATTGGCGCGTCCACAAATATTTACAAATCACTCTCGCACGTTCTAATAGACGCACCGTGTACACGCTTGCAGTTGCAAATTTGGCACATTAACGGTGGTAAAAGTGGAGCCGACGCACAGTTCGAAAGCGAATATTTTCCACGAAACAGAGTTCGAAACGTTCGAGGCTGGGAAATCTTCCGAACGCATTAGTGCGTTAAAATTTAATGCGTCCGTTAACGATTTCTTCGCCCCCAGCCAAAATGCTCCAGCGATAGATTTGCCTTCGTGAGATAAAAAAGAGAAAAGGAAAATTTCGAGAAAATTCAAATTTGATCTGGAGTGAAGCTGGAGGTTTCTAGCGATAGATCAAACCTCAAAGAAAGTAGAAGAAAAACGAAAAGGAAATTCGGAAGAAATTCGAATTTAATCGTTCTGACCCTTCATTCCTTTCTTTGCGAAATAAAGAATTTCGACAGGTAACAAAATCACGAAGAAAGTAAAATAGAAATTTACAGAAAATTCGTCTTTAATCGTCCAGTGGAATCCTGCGCTCTTTCTTTGCGAATTAGAGGATTTCACTGGTAGATTTGTCTTGGCAAAGTAAACCTGTAAAGATAAGCGAAAGTGCAATTCGATTTTAACTCTCAAATAATATCTTTAGATTATAAATGAACCCACACAATTACCACAATTATCAAGATTGTCTCATTTTGTTTCGTGTTCTGCGTTCTTTGTGATAGAGAGAGTTCGGAATAAAATTTCATAAAATTGCAAATTTTCGAAATTAGATATATTAAAATTAGTTAAATTGTTATTGCCTCCAATGGAGTTTAATGATATCTAATGGTACTAAATAATAGCTAATCGTTCAAGTTTTCGTGGAATCCTCCGTTCTTTCTGCGGACGAATCGACGATGAAAAATTGTTCGTGTTTTTTAATCTTCTGCTTCTGTATCGTGTTATTAGCCTGTCGAGTCGGCTGTCATCTTTTTCTAGTCTTTCAAGTAAACGTGATACACACGTTGGTCAATACGTGTGAAATATGTAAATACGTAGATAACAAGTAAAATGGCTCGGTACTCGCATCGGATACGGATCATGAGATATATACAAAGCGAAAGACCGAGAGAGGTGGTGATCACTTCCGATTTCTAAAATGTAGGTGGTGCTATTGCGCTTCACTTTCTGCTACACTAACAGAACTCGGTCTAAATCGAGGTTTACTTCTCCCGTGTAGTTTATGCGTATGCGTGTACATTGCGTGGAAATAAGAGAAAGAGAAAAAAAAAAAGAAAGAGAGACGGTCATGTGTAGGTTTCAATTTATGAACTCGTTATACCGGCGTCTTTGGCAGTTTCCTGCGCGTCGGTGAGGAGGGCGTTTTATCCGTTTCTCCTTCTGAAAAATATTTCACATTCGTCGTAAGAACAACAAGTAAATCGGAACGTACCAGTTAGTTAGTGGATACTTCAACTTTATAACCTGATGTATTTGTTTTATTTTTAATATCTTGGTTACCGTTTTTTATCGGTAAGATTGTATGACTTTACTGAAAGTACTGTACGTTTTAATATAATAACGCAACAAAGATAGCACAAATTATTGTATGTAGGATAATTGCATTTATCGGTATGTTTTACTGGCGTATATAAGAGAAAAAGTATCATACAAAAATACGTAAATTACAAAAGTTCACTTTCATATATTTAAAGAAAAAAAAAAGATTGAAATATTTTATGAGCATTAATTTACTTCTTAGCTAAAATTGTACTCATTCTGAGAGAACGACATTTTTCATATTTGTTTATTGCGTAAATAAATCGAAAGAGAAAATCACGAAATTACCATGAATAATTATATATATATATATATATATCAAAATAATTAAAATTATTATAAAATTATATTTAAAATTACAATAAACATTATACTGAAAGTAAGATCATATAGCCCTCACAAAACGTATTATTGCTTGAGATATTAAATGTAGAAGAAAAACATCGGACTATAAAGTTAAATTGGATATAATGTATTTTTGAATTTACATCATATTCGAATAAATTTTCTATTTGATATATATTGCTCTCAGCAATACATACAAACTAGAATACTAACTTTATTTGGAAAGTCAAACTAAGAAAGACATCCTAGAGTTTTAGAACGAAACTGTATCAATGTATTTTATGGCAAATCATATAAATGCATCATTTAAAATTTTATTAAAAAGCCACAATAAAAATGTAGAATGCAAAGAGCTATTATACATTGGGTTTTAATGTCATTGCTAATTTCATGCTTTCACTCTGTAATATGTATAAATATTGTAAAGAAAAGTAATGGTTTCAATAATAGTTTTAATTAGAAAAATTATAATAAAAAAGAATAGTTTTAAAAGAAGATTATATTAAACAAATATTAATTATTCCACTATATAATAAGATGAAGCAAAATTAAAATGAGTAGTGAATTCAATTTTTTTATTGGTTTTATTGATTCACAGAAATAGATCAATTTACGATCAACATAATAATTAGTTTCAAATATTCACTGTTTCTATCTGAAACTGATAATGATGAAAAATTTGAACGTATTACACAAGAAAGCTTATTTTAATTTTGCTTTATATCAAAAAACTAATTTATTTCTTGTATCAGTTGGTCACGCATATTGATGCTAGTTTAGATAATGTATTTTCCTTTTTTAACATTATCTACATATAAAAGTCTAGTGACATATAACTAGAGATCAAGGTATCATTCTCTTTGTTTTTTGTATTTTTATTATAACATTTTAATACCTCTTTAAATTATCTATTTTTGTATAATATTTTTGCTTTATTATTAGTAGTCATAAAATATACTGATAAACTGACTGCGGATTTTTATGCATTTATAGGAAATTTGAGAATGTGAAAATGCCAAAAATGCATGTAATAAACTGAAATATACGATATATTGAAAGTAGAATATCTTATAATAATATTTAGTAGCAATAAATAAATATTTTTTAATGATAAGAGATATGAAATTCTTATAAAAAAGAGAAATAAATCATCAAAAAGAAGTAAAATAAAAATTTATTTTTTTATAAAACTACATGAACATTCACAGTGACTACTGATAAAATTTGATTCTTAAACTGTTACTCTTTAAGATAATATCCGTTTTCATTATTGGACTACAGATTTTTATGCAAATTCATATTTTTGAAAATCTAATTTATTATATTTTATATATTACGTGTTGTTCAATCTTGCAGTTTAAATTTTCTCATGAATAGATAGAAATCCACAGTCTGTTAATAACTATATACAGTGAAGAGGTATAACTGAATCAGTATGAAAAATTGTCGATAATATAAACCGTTATAACTTCGTAAAAAAAAAATAAATCGTATAAAAACAATCAATTTCATGTCATTTTAAAACGTAAGTCATTTGGTTTCAGTCTTAAGTTCATTTTTTCCGAAGATAACTTTCCATCCATTATATGATATAGCGAATTGAAAAGTGAAGATACTTTTTTTCTCGAAAATTATACAAAATTCAAACTCTGAAAACATTAAAAAATTTTCTTCGTAACTGGATCTACTATAGTTTTGAATACTGAAGTCTTTTCTTCACAATGAAAAACTTGCTGCATGATTCTTTTTCACTATTTTACTGAGCCTCGAATATCAAGATTCTTTGAATTTTTGTCGTTTAAACCTAATATCAAACTTCAATAAAATGTTGGAGAAAAAAATCAGATAAGAAATTCTAAGAACTCGTTGTAAGGGGAGACTTTATTCCTCGGAACGAGATAATGGTAGTTCACGAAAAAAATGTTCAATGCCTTTAGAGATGTTCGAATTTCTACAGTTTTCAAGAAACGAGTGTTCACACTTTCTCGCTCATTGTAAACGACGTAAAATCATTTTTCAAGGAAAACAAATCGGGATTGTCAAAGTATAGAGGATCAAATGGATTGTTGTGACAGTTTGAATTATCGACAACCATTCGTTATTGGTTCAGCTATGCTCCTCACTGTTGATTCACCACGTCAACATTTAATTTAAAGGAAAGAAAAAAAGGAATATAATATTCAACTCTTCGTTGCTACTGACAAACGCAAACAATTTACTCTTTTTCCGGTTCTTCCATTGGAAACTCGTTTCTCTCTGTATCGCGACCGACAAGTTCTCGTCCCGTACGAGTTATCGATTTTAAAGCTGACGAAGCACTCTAACCGACACTCAGCATCTAACGATTGATCCCTCCGCCAAGTAACGCGTGTACATGACGACATGATGCTTGCGTTTCGTTTCTCATACTCACCCATCAGCAGTCCTAAATTTCCCGGCACTTTTCCCGACGATGGCGCCGCGGTTATATCCTCCGGAAGGTCCCCGCTGCGTACGATTTGTATCATAACGCAAAAGCAGCGAACACAACGAAGCAATTCCAACCATTTAATGCTTGAGACTATTTTCCGCTGATTACAGCGAAAAAATATAACTCTACTACTAATAATGAAAAAATTGTTGACACTTCAAACTGTTACCACTTGATAGAAACAATTTATTCGGTTTCATTCTAAAGCGTGATATCTTTACCTTGACAGTGGTGAGTTCGTTATTTTCAGAGATGTTTTCACAGTATCAGCTGAGATAGTGAGAATTCTTTTGTTCATAGAAATAGCAGAAGTTTCGAAAACATTGAAAATGTCTTTTCACGGCTAGATTTGACATGATCTTGAAAATTGAAGTCTCTCCTTAAATAATGATCCTTCAAAAGTTGCTGTACAATTACCTTCTTCGCCATTTTATCAAATTTTTAATTAAAGAACAAAACTTTCTAATATTTTATCGTTTAACCCTAATGTTGAAAGTTCAGTAAAGTGGCGGAAAAGAAATTACACAGTAACTTTTAAGGTCTCGTTACAAAAAGAAAATTTTCAATTTCGATATTATCAAAAAATGTTTTCAATGGTCTTACAAACATTTGAATTTTTACAATTTTCAAGAATAAACGTATCTCTACTTTTCCACACCCTATGTAATATATGTGAAAAATATCGTTGGAAGAGAAAGAACAAACTCACGACTGTCAAAATAGAGGTTTTACGTTTTAAAATGAGACCAGGTTTGTTTTTATCAAGTTATAGCAGTTCGAAATATCAATAATTTTTCATCATTAGTGGTACAATTATATGTATGCTTTTAATTGTATATTCATTCATCGAAAACAAAACTGCCTAAGAAAAAATATATGCGATATAAAGAAATATAATATGATAGTGGTAATTTGAATTTACATATAAATTTGAAAAATTTATAGCAAATCTATTGAGATTTCTCTTATGTTGATAAAACTTTTATTAACTTGAAGATTAATTTACAACATTTATATAAAGTCAAGAAGCTGTAATTTAAATTAAATTTCCTTTATTTTTAATAAACATCTTAATTCACGAAGTAACATATCTAAAATAAGTTTTCTAAAAAATTCTTATTCTTCGGCCATTTACTGAAACGGTCAGGATTAATGGCTGAAAAGCGAAAGCTTTCAAGAAAATTCATTTTATATACATCAATTTCTGAAATTATATATTTAATTATATACGTTGATAAAATTTCCGTCACTATAGAGAAGTGTCGCAATAAATTAACCTTGCAAGCTTCTGAAAGTTATACATAAATTTGATATATTTAAACTGTTTTCTTATTTATTTCTTACTTACTTATTTATTATTTTTATTTCTTACTTATTTATTTATTTCTTTAATATATATTTTTATTATAATTGTAAGAATACTGCCTCTTGGACAATGTCATCAATTTTTTAAATTTGTGGTTTCAATGAACGAATATAGTCGGTAAAAAAATAACCATCGGTCTCTATACTTTCCCAATTTAATTCGATCGATTAGTTCTCTTCATCGGTCTGTTAAACATCGTACTTACGTGTCGGCAGCATGCTCGATCACCAGATCCACCACATCGTCGCCCCGTTCTGTTATTTGAACGACTTCTTCGAAGCTTCGATCTACCAGAGACACCCCGCCCCATTCGAGTACCTGGAAGAACAGAATGATTCTTATTCGAATTTAGTTCGAATTTAGTTCGTTGAACGTAAATTGCAGACGAATTGAGATTCTAATCCTTTCGTACTTGTGGGCCAAAATATTTCACGATATGTGTTTTCGAAATCCTGGTACAATCAGCCCAGGATGTGGTTCTACATGTAAAGATAAGTCGAAAAAAGAAGAGAAAAAAATTGTCCATGTGACGTTACGACTTTCAAAATTTATTACATGCATTTAAATTCAGAAGGTTAATCCTGTGTGCAAGTAAAAAAATGTGGAATGAAATTTTTTTCGTTTAAAACTTCATTTTTAAGAAAATACGTTTCGTTAAAAGTTGCCTAAGCGAACTTCATAAATTTTCAACCTCGATGTGAATTTTCATTCTTGAAAATGAAGCGTCTTACAAAATAGTTGTATTCTGTTTCTAAATATCTAGGTTGGGCCAAAAAAAAAAAAAAAAAGAAAAAAAAGTCGGCAGTGAATTTTTCATTTTACGGTATTTTTTATTCACATGACTGAATTACCCTGTACAATTACTAGATTAACAACATGTTAGCTGATCGTTTCGTTGAAACGTTCTTTCACCGGGTCAGTCCTTTTTGTACTTCTTTTCGATCGAATTTTTCAAGTTTTCGAACTCGAAGTGACGATACACTTATTTCGCGGAACTTTACTTTTCCAAGCTGGTCAAAATTATTTCTCGCGCCGAGAAGTTGCTCATCGAGAGGAAAGTTAGATGCACGCGTGTGCAACCTATCAACCCGAGGAGTTGAACGAACTTACCGAACGAAAAGTGGCGGATAATTTGTTTCTGAGAGGCAGGCTGTTGATTTAATCGCGGAATTACGTGAAAGTTCTTCCAATTGGATATAATCGGACCAAGAATTGATCGCATCTGTTGAATCCGGAGAACTTGCGGAATTCACGTGCTGTTTTAATTGCTTCAATGAATTATCTGGTTCGAATGGCACAAACCTCGGCGAATTCATTACGCGCCACTTTCGTTCGGAACGCCGAATTTTTTTTCGCGTTTCGTTTACAAGAGCGGCAAAAATTGCAATTATTTCGACGAGAGTCGGCGCACCGTGACGGGATATTTTTGGCCTCCAATTTGATAAAAACTGATCGCCAATAACTATCCGAATGATTCCAACATCGTTTGACATTCCGTTGATTTGTTTAATATCAAAGAAAATATTGCATCGTGCGTCTGCACCGTTTTAAGAATAGATTTATGAGAAATTAAACTTTCAAGGGAACAAGTTCTCTTAAATTTTTAATACAAGCCTCGATTAAGTTTCTACACGAAATAAAACGATTATAAAATTGCTGGGTAGAAATCATTAGTCGAAATATCTATGATAAACATAATTAGAATAGATTTAATAAAGATAGTTGAATTTGAAAACTCTATGTTTATTATCTTTTCTTCATTTATTATTTATTATTTTATCATTTACTAAACTCTCATATATTTAACATTTCTATCAAAATTAAATAACTTGCTTATTTACTTATTTGTCATGTCATATTTTTTGTTTGCTGATTGCTCATAAAATGCACAAAGAACTAATTTAAAGAAGAGGAAAGATAATTCTTTTAAAAACCTTGTTTATTCATTGTACAATATATAGTACAAAGAGATATGTATCAAGAAAATGAAGTCTTAAGAATATTTTTGACAATATATTTCTAGTAAATACATATATATTTTATCAATACGTGCAAAGATACAAATTTAAAAAACAGACGAGATTTGACTAGATTTGAGGTTTTAATAATTGAATAATACATCTGTTGTATTCAAACAATTAATTAAAAAATTTAGTTTCTTAATCTCAAGGATCAAGAAAAATTAACCTTCCCATTTGCCTTTGTTTTCTGTGATATCATATTAAAATTAATTTCTCTTTTGTACAAGATAAATTGAAGATCAAATTTTATTATTTGAATCAAATAATAAAATCGCAAAAATTTTTCAAAAACTTGGAACTTAGTTTTTTCAGCTAGTTAGTAACTTTAAAACTGAATATTGTATAAAATAATAAATAATAATATTAATAACAAACGTAAAATATTGAATATTAAGTACAATAAATATAAAATATTAAATCGATTATATATAGTTTATCGACACTATACTAAATAAAACTACTTTGTTTTGTATGTAGCGCAATTTTTATCATTGTATAATTGATTTTATTTTATTTTTGTACTGTACAAAACAATTTATCCACGCTTTTTATATTTTTATCCGAGCTATTCGTGGAATACCTGATTCTCTGACAAATGTAGTACGTTCGTTTCTAAATTGGAAAAGATCCGAATCCGAACGAAATCCAGGTAATTTAAACTTCGTAAAAATACCAGTTGACCTGACGTCAAAGCTTATTGAAATTGAATAAAAGAATTTAAAAAAAAAATAAATAAATAACGGAAACGAACAAAATTATTAAAAAAAAAAATTAATAAAAAGAGAGAAATAAACGTCGGAATAAATTCTCGTAATTTACTTCAACGACCGCGACGAAGGAACCGAATTTATAAAAAATGATGTAAACGAAGTTAAAGCAAGTTCATGTGTGCGCTATTCATAACATACATGCACGAAAAAAATATAATCATGTGACATATTCTGTGCACACTTTGCTCGCTTAATTAAGTTAAGGATAAAGCAATTTGCTGACTTTCAAAAAAGAATTCGAGTTCCATACTGATTAAATGTATTTTCGTAAACTATATGGACAGTAATGCGCGATTAACGTGATTTGTGAATATTGTGAGATATTTACACGAATATGTGTAAAATATTATAACAAAGTGTACGCTTCGTTAGAGCCTTGCCTTGTTCTGAAAATGATAAATTCTGAGAAGAGAGAAATTTTGTTACATTTTGACAATTTTGCGTGGTGACAAAATTATAAATATTTTTTTATATTGTGAAGTACAATATTACAATGTTACGTGTGATGATTATCTAAATGCGGCTTATCACTTGAACAAAATGTCTAATAGCAAATGACAGATATCTTCTTTTTTTGCTACAAATACTGTTATTATGGCAAACTACGTATTATTATATATACAACGTTTTTTTTTTCATATTTACAAGCAGTCGATCTCTTATATTTGTAATTATAAGAGTTTAGTGGATACGAAATTTTAGATTAGTAAATAAAATGTATTTTCTGGAAAATTTTAGATTAGTAAATAAAATGTATTTTTCGGTTTTCTCTAACATACTGGTGGTTACATTTCGACACTTAGTTTTCGAATGATAGAAAATATAAAGAAATTTTATAGAAATCAAAATAGTAAGTGAAAATGGAATGTGTCTCCTCACATCAAAACATTTTTGAAAGATTTTGATGATACGAGATACCAAAAACATATAATTTCATTCTATAGAGTTAGTTGTTAAAAACATTATGTTTTTCTTATTATTCTTGAACTTGAGTCTAGAAATGTATTATATAAAGCAAATTGATTATTTTCTTGATTTCGGGTCGAATAAATGAAATTTAAAATTTAAAATTGTTTATATTCGAATAATTATTTAATACATAAAATTTGGAAAAGTTATTGGTCCAAAATTTTATCATCTATTTCTTCACATTGGTGATAAACCATCTTCTTTAAAAAAAAATAAAGTTTTCGCTTTATTTTATTAAATGAAAAGTACAATTTTTTTGAGATATACAGAAATATAAAAATTTATCAATAGAAACAAATTTTTCTACTCTAAATTGTTAGTATTTTATAACAATTAAAATTTTTTAAAATTTGTACACTTTTATCTGTAGTTTTTCATTTTGTTTGCTCTAGTTCTCTGCAATAATGGCGAAAAAAAGTGATTGAAATACAAAACTGAAAATTACATTCATACAGTTCAAAAAATCGAATCTTTCCGTTTAGTTGTTACAAATAAAAAAACGTTCCGTGTAAAAATGACTGTGTCTATTTTTGAACGATACAAGGTTGAATACGAGAATACTGTGTGTGAAAACTACAATTTCGAAGCAAAAATTTATAACGTACGATAGAGGTCGAGGTCACTGAGTTTCAAGCAAATCAATCCAATGAAAAATAATGAAATTTTATTGGTTTCTACTTATGAATCTAGAATTTATGAAACAAATATCACGGATTAATGAAATGGAGATCATATTATTCGATATTTCTCTATAGAACGTACATAAAACGTATTAAAAATTGCGTATTTATAGAGATGTACAGGAAAATGAATTTCTTTATTTGATTTTGATACTATTTGATTTGAGATCCCGCTTTGAGCCTCGTGTTTACTGATAGCGTGCAAATATCAATTTCGAACGGTTCCTACACTCTATCTCAAAATTGAAATCTAAAAATAAAAATGGTGGAAACGGAGTTTTCGATTTTTAAAATAAAACAGCAGAACATGGTAACATTTGCACATACGTTTGTATAAAAATTTTAATTTTTTCGTATCCTAACATGTACTTTCATAATTTCAATTTTAGAACTAGAAATTATGCTAGGATATATTGTAACGATGCAGTATTCCATGTTTTCGACAAAGTTTTATCAAAAGAGAAATATTTCAATTGTTTAAAATTGAGAAGAGAGAACAAAATAAAGATGTTGCAAATTTTATATATTTTTATATATTTACAGGAAATTAAAAATCGCGAAAACACACAACAAACATAATACACTCGCTCAGGAAATTTTGATTTTTAAAATAAAAAGAGGTAAACTTTGATAATACTGAAAATACACTTACTATATGAATTTCAACTTTTTTATGTTTTAACACTGTAGTACTATTTTCATAGTATTCTAGTACAGTTTTTATATTTTTACAATTTAGAACATTCTGGTACACACGTGGCCAACATTGCTCTGTCAAAGACTGAAACTTTACTTTCAAAATTGTAAAACTGTATGATTCTGTACCACCTAGTTTTCTGACGTATGCATCCGAGTGATCCATTTTTTAAAGTTAGTTCGAAATGTTTATCGTTCATTGCGAAAATTTATAACAATCGTAAATAACACGAGCATTAAAAATGTATTGCGATGTTTTTTTTTCATCAAAATTTATTTTATGAATTCATACTGTTCTTGATTATGTTACACTTTTCTTTTCTTTTTCTTTTTTTTTTTTTACAAAAAATATACCTTCTACAAAAATTGAATAAAATTTACGTAATAATTCAAAAATATGTTCATTTTAACGAAGAAAGTTTCGCAGAGGAAATTTGTTAAAGTCTACAGATCGATCTTGCTGAAATGAATTCTACCGAAATATGCTTGCAAAGTTATTCCTGTAACCGTGCAATTTCTGGAATTTAGTAGAGCTGCAATGTGCTCGTGATACTATACTTTTACGTAAAATTAGACGATCATATGTTAATGAATTCGTGCGATCTCGTGAGATATAGCTTTCCAGTCAGCCAGTGCACGATTGTGGCGCGTTTGCGTTGCGCACAGCTGTCGATAACTTAATTAAAATCACAGCTGTAGAGAATGGTTGTCGATACTCGCACGCATTAATCGCTTGCAGTATGTTACCTGCTCAACAGTGGACGCAAGTTGCCAGAACATCTTTATTTCGTTCCGAATCTAAATGCCTGTTAAATGTCTGCGCATCAATTTGCACTTGTGACGTCAATTTTGAATATATATCGTTCAATTGTTAGAATGATCATTATCACGGTAGAACCTTCAAAACCTCCTGTTCGATTAATGAAATTTTCAAGTAATAGAACAATCATTTTTTATATTAAATTACGTGTAAGAAAATTGTTAGCATACTAACAATTAACAATTTTATTCTCTTAAATAATTAACAATTAATAATTCTTAAATAATCAAAAATGCTACATGTTTGTTAACTATTGAATTACTCAACTTTTTCAGCGTACTTTCAACTCTGTAAAGTTTTACATTCCTTTTGTACTTTCAATGATCGAATTCTTTCTTTCGCTGTAAAACACATCATCATCATTTTCGTTTATTGTTTGTTTGTTCGAGAAAATTTAATATACGTTCGTCATTGATAACAAAACGTTGACTTATCGCAGAGTTAAAGAATAGGTTAAATAGTTTCTATCATAATTATATTATAATATTGTTTTCTAAACTCTTGTGTTTCATATCTTACTTAATTCTTTTGCAATTATGGAAAACATATTAAATATGGAAATAATAACCATGTAGAATAGTTTAGAACAAAAAGAAGCCTCTGTATTAATAATATATTAATAATATATATTATAATATTTTCTTTTCTAAGAAGAGAACATTTTAAGAAGAGGCCTAAAATTCTTTATTTAGAGTGAATAAAAGTGAAAATATTATAATATACACACGTTCAAGATTTAATTACTGAATAATACCAGGGGAGCATAAATTTTGAATCACGTTGCATTTTTCATGCAAGATAGAGCAATAACACAATTCTCTAACAAAAAATTACAGTCTTCATTACAATCCAGAAACAAGAGGCATTCTATTAAAATTTACATTACTGCAGTAATGCTCAAAAAAATTTCAGAAATTAACGTATTATACTCGGTCCAATTTCACTTTAACATTATTCCAAAAATGATTTCGTTTAAAAGCTTCTTTCAAGTTGCTTCGTAAAATAACGGGCGCTGCATAAAAATTTCAACGACTGAATTTTTCGAAGTAATACTTAAAATTCGAGAATATCTCTGCGGTGTTACGCACGCGCGTTTAATTTTCAAATTTAAACGAACACGTTAGCATGGCGAAAAATGCATGAGATCTTACCTTGTCGCCGCGTTGTATACCAGCTTTCGCCGCTGGACCATCTGGCACAGTCCACATCACGTATGCGAAAGTTCTTCCATCAGTTCCCGTTTTACCGCCAACTACCCTTAGACCAAAACCAGCCGCTGTAAAAAGGGGATGAATGTTTAAAGAAGGTATTAATGCAACTGGCGCGCGTTCTTCCATTACCCTAGCATTAGACCAATTTGATGGGACGTGCACGAAATGATTTCAGTAATTGAAACTGGAGGAGTTAAAGAGTAACTTTCAAGAAAATTCAAATTTGAGAAAGGGGAATAATAATTAAGAATAGATTGTGAATTTTTATTTATTTAAATAGTTTAATCAGGATAATCAGGATAGTCTAATCAGGATAATATTTAAATAGTTTAATCAAGTTAATAGTTTAGTCAGGATAGTTTAAAATTAAATAAAAATGCAGAAACGTAGGACATTTAATATTTATTAGAAACAACGTAGTTTACGAATTATTCAATATAAATGTAAATGACAGATGATTCTGGATGTAAGACACAAAATGAAACTATTTGTAGGATTTGTAGGATAAATTTAAAAGATACGAATAGATGATAAATTTGATTTCTTTCTATTTCTTTATTATTAGGTTTTGAAATTTTAATATAATATTATAAAATTATAGATTGTTAAAGACACGTACAATTGCTCATAAAAGTATTCGACCACTTGTAAGAATTTTATATGAATATATATCATATATGTTATATGTAGAATATTTTGAAACTTAATTAACACTATAGTGAGACTTAATTATTCTAATTATATCTACTATTTGTTAAGTTTGGAACAAATATAAAATTATACACAAAAATTACAAATATTTAATACTCTAAGTACATATACATATTTTGCAAAAATTATAGAAGTATTTAGACAATCACAGTTCATTGTATCAATAAATTTCAATGCAATTTTTCTTAACGTTTATTTCGTGTTTAAAGTTAGTCTCTATGCTAACTAATTTTTTATTAAATATATTTATATTTACAAGAAATATTTTCCAACTTCATATACACATTTTTAGATTTCGAACTTTGCTAATGTAATTATGATAATTATCTCTTATTACAGTGTTGATGAAGTTTCAGAATATTTTATAGATACATACACAATTGTTCAGAAGTTTGGAGTATTCTTTTCTTCTGGGAAATATGAATTATAAATTTAATTTCTAAATATATTGTAATAATTATAAGTTTTATTTCAGACAATTCATTCTTAAATAGTTGAAAATATTGATATTTATATTTGAGCAAAACCAGTTCTATTATAAATGTTCGAATACTTTTATTAAACATCATCCAACCAAATACAATTCAATTTTTCGTTCGATGACAGAAATTACAGCTAAAATATTATCAAAAAAAGAAAAGAGTTTGACGGAGAACGAAATTGATCGCCAATCTCGCATTACCCCAACGAAAATTTCATCGTGTCCCATAGCTGCGGAATAATAAATAATATCGTGAAAAATTGAGGAAGCTCGCGAAAACGGGTGACCTTTATGTTTATAAATTGGTATTCATCATGGCCAGCGGTGAGCTCAACGGGAGACTAAACAATTTCACGGTATATCTGGAGCACGATCTTTTCTGCAAAATTGTAAATTAAACGAGCTGTACGAGTCTAACGCGCAGTCTACTCCACTTGTCAATCGATAACGTCGACAACTTTATTATTACATGACACCTACAAACGTCACCTGTTCGTTTTTATCTTTTTTTTCCGTTTTTTTTTTTTTTTTTTTCTTTCCATCGCGCTGTCACCTCGTTACGACTGCCCTGTAATCCATATTGAAAGTCTACCTTCCGGTTTCCGCGCGATGCACAAGTTAATGGCGTACTGGCGCGATACGTTAAAAGATCGGCGTGCACACAGAGTTATTCCGTGTAGATATGAATATTGATGAGCCTGGAAAAGTGGCTTTCATTGGGTTGCTATAAGCAGGTCATCCCGCTGCGGTGCATCGATTTATTAAAATACACAGAACCGGACGAAAACCGGTAATTTTATATATTATAGTATATTAACAGATTGTACTGTCTACTGCTAATTATCAACGAATCGTTTCTTTGACTTGAACATAACGTTACTCTCAGACTATCAGAGAATGCTCAGGAAAATTTGTTGCTAATGTATTAAAAGGGGATATTGTAATAATAATTGTTGTATAATCATACATATATAATATCTACATCTAGATAATAGAAAATTAATTTGAAACAAATTTCGTTGAAATTTATGATATAGTTGAAGCAGTATTTAACAAGTCTAGATGTAGCTTTATTTACGTAACAGTAATAATTATCTATTTTTTGGTTGTAGTTGGAAGAAAATATTACAGAAAAAAGAAAAAACATGGATGGTACACTACGTGCATACTGATTAGCAAATTCGTATTTCTGAGAATATAATTAATAAAATAAAATCTCGGTAGAAAATAATGTCACGTATTAAATGTTATTGAAGCTTATATATTAATGAAAAAATAAATTTTATTTTGTACCGTATCATAAATCACGATACTACAGGAACACATACTGTACTGTACGATATTTAAAATTTGCTTTTAATAAAGTATAGATTAAACGGTTTTACAAAAAAATATTAAATTACGTAGATCGAATTTAAAACGAGATAGAGGAAAACGTTGTTTGTGAAGTATCATTTATATTGGAAAAACTGGTTTTGATTTACTGTGGGTTTCTCTGTGATACGTATCGTATGCGACATTTAGAAAAGAATTTACATTCTGAAAAGATATTAGGCTATCAGAAATGAAATGATGACATTCTCTATGCAAAATATAAAATAACAAAATAATATAAAAAGTTAAATAACAAAATTATACACTATTATTACTTAAAAGATGACTAAAATGATAAATTTTAATAATTGAACGAAGTGAATTTTTATTCTTTGCACCAATATCCTGCAAGTGTATGATGTTATTTATTTGAAATTTAATTTATTCGAACTCCGTGCAAGTACTAAATTTTCTTTTTAAAAACAAAAGTGAATGTTTACTAAAAATCCATCGTCAGAAGGAAAACGATTGAATTTCGTTCATCGTCCATTAAGGATAATAAACTTTCGTCGTAGATAGAGATTCAGAAAGCTACTTTATCCTCGGGAATGTCAGTTTCACCGGAGTCGAAGGTGATTACGAGTCGCAGACGAGCGAACGCAAACGACAAACAATGAATATTCCTTTTGATGGATATCCGCATAACGAAGTAAACAGATGATTAACATCGGACTAATTTAACGCGATGAACACCGCGAGGAACTAAATGGATCGCGTTACATAACATTTATAGCAACAGGTTCCAGAGCGTTTTAGCGTGATATAGCAAATCGCGAGATTAACGAGTCGCAGTCTGTTCGAATGGAAGATTGGCCGAGCCAATCAGAATCGTTAATCTTTCGAATCAGACGACTATTTCGTATTCACGTCATAGCGATGAATTTTGCGAAAATGTTCAACCTCGATGTTCGAGATCGACGCCCGAGCTTTCGAAACGGGGGCGGCTGCATTTTAAATATGCCACGATTCCAGAGATACAGTTTGATATAAATTTCAGGAGCACATATAGAAGCATGCGAAAATTGCTTGCATTATCTTTTGGTGCTTAAATTGAAATTAAAATATAACTGGGATGGTTAGCTGAAATTTCTAAATTTTCAACTAAAGATTTAGTTGACAGAATTTTTAAATGTTTAACTGAGAATTGCAGTTTCATTGTTAAGTTAATGTTTAAAGAGTAAATTAAGTTGATATTTAAATAGTAAATTAAGTTGATATTTAAATGGTAAATTAAGTTGATATTTAAATAGTAAATTAAGTTGATATTTAAATAGTAAATTAAGTTGATATTTAAATGGTAAAAATTCAAATATCATGGGATATTGCAGAACATCACGGGATATCTTCTTTTTCTCGTAGATCATTCATTTATATCGCACCATTCGCGAGTCGCGTATAGAAAAACAAAATTATGCTTCCTCGATACTTGTGTCCATATAAATAATACATCTGGTGTGCGTATGTTCGTCTTTAATAATTGAAATTTACGGCGTACGCCCTGAAATATCCCATCTTTTCGACACCTCGAGGTCGCGTCTCTTCTTTCGTCGTCCTCTCCAAACGAACTCTCCCGACGAGTGCTAAATGAAACCGACGTTTCGTAATTCTGAGTTTGACGAGTTGAAAAGGTAGGAAAGAAACGACGGAGAGGCGAGAGAAGAAAAGGGGCTGATCGAAGGTTCGTCGGCTCGTATGGGGATGAATCGGGCAGAGTTTTGATGGGCGTCGACGCGGGAACGCCAATCAAGGGCCGTCATTCAGGCTTAATTAACAGGCTGGGAACAGAGCGGGCCTACGATAAGGTCCGCAGCCGCGGGCTTGTTCTGGTAATGACGTTGCAGCGCAATTATCTGATCGGCTGGCCGTTTCTCCGCGGAATTTTCGATAAATACTCGCTGCCGGTCGGGGAGTCCATCTTGTTAGCGTTCGTCCACGAAACGGACGTCGGCCGACAACCCTTTCTCTCGTCGTGCCCCTTGAAAATTTGCCTCGCAAATCCGCGGCAAATTGAATTTCCCATCGCCCTTTCTCCGAGGCGATCGCATTAATTCGCCCAACAGAGCTCCGGGCTCGTTACCAAAAGTGCGTGGATAACTTGGGCCTTGTGCCGATAACGCGGGGCGAGGTCGAGAAAAGACGCTCGACTTTGAATTGTACTATACCCTCGCGACGTTCGTGAATCTCTGCGGGATCGATTTGGAAACCTGTTGGTCGTGTTTGACTTGAGTACATTCGCTACGCGGCAGTGGACATTATCTTTCGCCGTTGAAATTGAAATTAACATTTCATCGGGGCGTGGCCAATTAAAATTTCTTAATTTTCAATTAAACTCATTTGAAACTCGGTTGAAATTTAACTCATTTTTCTTAATTTAACTTAATATTTAATTGAACTTTAAAATTTAACTGGCGGTCAATTTGGAATTTCTGAAGCTTTAATTAGGAATTTAAATTTAATTGAAGTTAATATTTAAACAGGTGAAAATTGAAGGCATTATCT